GAATGAAACTTCTTTAAATGCATCGCAGTACTCAATAAATTTTCAGAATAATGCTTCTATTCCTTTCAAGACTATCAGGGCGAGAAAAAAATGACCTTTCCTAACTTCCAAAATTTGGCATTGAAAAGCAATCGATAGCAATCAATTGTATAGTAGCAATCAATTACTATAGTGCACAGAGTTAAAGCTTGAAAATTTTAAATTGACGTTTTATTCTGTAAGCATGCACAAGAGGCAAGTGACCTGAGTTATTTTCGCAAACTTTCAAGGACCAGACTGATATCTTGGTGTCTTTTCAATTTCAACAGATGTTGTTGGGCGAAATTCGATTAAATTCTTTAATTAAATCTGCCTGCTATTCACAAGGCAAAGTGTACTCCTGGTGGAACAATGAAAAGTATAAAAGTTCAAGCGCGAGTATTCGCAAACTAATCACCGAGCAATAAAAAATTCTACCAGAACAACCTTTCAGCGCTCAATTAAAATTGTGCTGTACTGCAATCAGAGAAACTAAACTATAAAAAATTACCCAGTTATCAAGAAATCCAGTGAGAGTTTTATAATAGCGTCCCACACTTTGGAATTGTATTACCAAATAAAACAACACAATGTCGTCATTCGACTTCAACTTCTCTGCCAATCAGAAGACCCTAAAATCAAACCACTTTAAACATAACTTCGTCAAAAACAAAGAAACATAAAAAGCCTAAATCTCTTTATTTGAGACACAGTCGATCTGTTGAAAAACTTGAAACATGTGGCTCGTGTAAAATTGTGAGATGAAATATTTCTCAGTGTTAATTGTTGCGTATTACTGCGACGAATAAAACTTAATATTCTTGGACTCTTCAGCCAAATGTAGGCATATTGCTGTGTTTTACTCTTAAACCAATTAAAGAAAACTGCGTCTTTCTAGCAGCCGCGCAAAATAAGCCTCGACACAGTAAAACAGAGGGTATATCTAGAAGCTCAACGCAATACTGAATTGAATTGAACAGCCAGCTTTATTTTCTGCTTTTCTGTGTTCACAAGGTTCAAACAATGTTTCCACATCCAGGCCCCTTCCCATCCCCATCATCCAAGTTCATCCAAACACATTCTTCACATCAGAATGGAAAATAGAGAAACAAGCTATGCATAGATATTTAAAGAAAATAAAATACATCCAGAAGAAAAGTAAAACTGCACAACCCTGATATAAATATATACACTTTCTTCATTTCCCTGTTCACAAAAACAAAGTATCAATAATACAAATTTCAGCATAAAGCAATTACTAAATACTGTACTATTCAACTAATTGACAAGAAAAAAAATCAGCTGCATCCTTGTTTTTTTCTCTCTTATTGGAGAATTATGAAAGCAAAGCCCCTTTTTTTTCTTCTTGGGAATTATGCCAGAATATATGCAGTGTCTCTGCACGAGTCGGTGGCTGGTGAAATTGTGTACGAGTATGTATGCACCTGGTATAGATGCGGAGATGGCAGGGGATCACAAAAGGCAAGAAAGCGTGGATGTTCCAGATGAAAGTCCGCCTCCGCCAAATCCCTGCGTCCTTTAATTCCCTAGGGGTTCTTCTCAGATGAGCGCATTGAAACACCAAATCTACGCAGCTGAGAGGATATGACGTGAAATCCTATCCGGCGTGTTGACAGTTCCACCAGGATACTTTCTTGAAATAAACCCTCCGTTTCATTCGTTGTTCTTGTTGATTCTGAAAATATTCTGACAGATATACTGTGCATGAAAATCTGCGAGCAAAGGTTCGATCACCTAATAATCATCGGATGAGTATAAATCGGGATTTCCAGCCCTTTCGTTTTGAATACAGATCCTCCCAGCTTGACTTGTCCAAAAAAATACCTGAACCCCACTTGAACCGGATCAACATCAACTTCATCTGCTACGAAAAGGTTTCAGGTTTTATTCTGGAAGAATTTCCTCCAGGCGTTTGTTTTTCAATTATTCAAGACTTATTTGAATGGCACATTCTTTGAAGAAAAAAACTATGATTCTGGGTCAACGTTCACAAAGGTCGATGATTTGGATTTTGAAATTTGAAAATTCATAGTAAAGTAAAATTACTTTACAATGAATCCATTGGGAGTCTTGGGACAATTAAAATAGCTTCGTTGCAACGAACAATTCGTTATATAGGGACCGAATTGATATTCTGGCTATTGGGCAGGGACTTGAAAAAATGACTTCGTTTCAAGTGATTAATCCTTATAACGATATTCTTCACCCAAATCTGAATGATATGTGAAAATAATTCGACAATCATTAATTAAAGGATGCAGGCATACATAAATTCAAATGATTTTGCGATAATTTAGGAAAGCCATGATTTGCCACATTTGCATATTTTAAGAATAGTGGTAAACGTAATTCAAAAGTTAAAGCAAGAAATTATATTTTCGGATTGAAGTTCATTTTGTATTATGTTGGTCCTACAATTTTTGGAATTTGACAGATTGCAAAATCAATCAGCCAGTCAGAAACTCTCGCCTATATAAACCTGCAAAATATTATTGATTAACAAGATCTAACATGGTGAAATATCATCTTATTTATCTTCTAAAAATCTTTGGGGGGAAGCTCTCTCTCTCTCTCTCTGGCGATTTTTCACAGGTCTGGGAAAAATAAGCATATGACAGAGAGCTGTTAAACTCGCTGCATGCTAATGATGCTTTCCGGAAAGGCATTAGGTGTTGATGATGTTTGATATGATAGAGTGACCCATCCCTCAGAGAATGGTTATGATGACGGATAGGTCATGATCTTCACGTGGGTGATGATGATGTCGAGAGCTACTGATGCTGCCGGTGTAATGATAGCGAAGCAGTCCAATTCCTCAGACACGGTATTTCATGAAATTTTTCTGAATGCGTAAAATCCAGGAAAATAAATTACTCGCTAAATACGTTAGGCAGATTTGATTTAGTCATCTCTGATGAGCGATTGTGTTTCCAAAAGCTTGAATCGATTGCGAAGGAATGAAGTCGATTTGCCGCATTCCGATATTTATAAAATGTATGTCAACCATGGGCACCACGCATTGGAAATGCCTCTGAGAATGTCTATTTTTTAGCTTTGTAATTTGCAATGCTTTCAATATTAGAAAATTAATCTTATCATATTTTCCATACCGAATCCCCAGGAAAACATCAAAAAATTTCAAAATTGAAAGGATAAACTGAAAAAAAATCATGGACTGGTTTGATTTCGCTCGAATGGAATCCAAATTTGGGGATCTTTTCTAGTTTTCAATTAGGAAAACCCAGAGAAACAGCAGTAAATTATATACCAGTATACCAGCACATTAACCAAATACATTACAGGTGAACTCACCTCACAAAGATTCTCTGTGTGTAACGAATTTTTTTCGGGGTCCCATATAGTTTTTGCCCCATTAATTAGGGTTCTCATCAACGAAATTCTCACAACAATTTTTCTTTTTGGTCCCCTTAATATTGTTATAGACGCAGTTCACCGGCATATTGTTTTGGCATCAGCTAACCCTGCTGTTCCCATGGGGTTCTTGTCCCAACATATAGAGGCTCTCAACAACGAAATTCTCAGGACGAACAATTTTTCTGGTCCATTTTAATTTAGTTGTTCTGAACAACGAAATTCTAAGGACAAATAATTTTTCTTGTCCATTTTAATTTAGCTGTTGAGATTGTCCACCTGTATTAGAGAACTTTGGGATCAGCTATTACCCTGCTACACCGAAGTTTCCTTCAAGGTCTGCTCAACGTCATTGTCAACACTGTCCTGCAGCAGGTGCCCATGAAGGACAGGGGAATTATTTTGGGGGAGGCTCGAGGATGCTGGCATAGCACTGCGAAGCCCCGGGGCAAGACACGATGTGTCGAAAAGCAACAAGTCGACGTAGCAGCATACATGGGTATACGGGGGAGGGGGAGAACCCAGGGTGTCAGCTCATGAACGTCATCAAGGAAAACTGAACGCAACCCAACTGAGCGTTGCAACAACTGAGCGACACCCCATCATTCTGCAGCTACCCTATACCATTTTCGAAAGAAACTCTTTCGTCAAAGAAGTTGTTGGTGACTGAAGTCACTACAACAAGAAAAGCTAGGCTGTAAAGAAAGAGATTAGTTGATAAAAGATTTCAAGAAAAACACAGAATCAGCCCGGGACAGGGGCCGGGAATTCACGGTGGAATCCCTATTTTAAACGTTAAAGTATATTTCGAGAAGTCCCAAAATTTAGATAGTGAACAAAACAAACAACACAGAAATTTAGATGATTTTCGACAAATATGTTTTCAGAAAAGACCTCTCAAAAAACCTCTGATCACGCTGCGGCGGCAACAAAACGAGAACTGTGTTGATTTTATGAAAGCAAGGGGTATTTATTGATTTCTTTTCCTGCTCTTGATCAAGGAGACCAAGACAGACGTCTTGGCGCCAAGAAATTTTTATTTTTTCTTGGGGAGGGGAAACCGTTGACGGATTTCATCCGTTTTTTACGCGCGGGTGGTTTTCCACCCGATTAGATATTTTTAATTGATTTTATTCGGGGTGCGCCGCGAGTCCCCAACATAATCCCCCCTGCCCAGTAAAGGAGCCCGCCGCCAGGCGTGCTCTTTCACTGGGCATTTGGCTCTTAAACGCCATGACAGGGATTCGCGTGCGCAATGGTTACCCGGCCATTAGCTTCATTTTGAAAGTTTTACGTCAGAGGGTTTGTGAGAGGGTCCCTTATCTTTTGATACGTGCGCTTATTTGAATTCGGAAGTGATCAGTTTCTGAATTCAAATAATTTTTATGATCTATTCAACATCTCATTCAATATATCACATTCACAGGTTTTTTCGCGTTCATTTTGATCGATAGATTCGCGTGTCTTGTCCGATTTTTCTAATTTTTTCTTTTCGCGAGTTTTCTCATAGAACTTTTTCCGCCGATTTCACAATCTTTCTTGTCGAAGTGTTCTTCTAAGTCTTCTTGAAGTTTTCGAGTTTTTCCGCGATGGCTGGGCTCGATGAAGGGCTGATGGATGTGGCTACCGGTTCGTCTTCTTCGGATCTTCTTGGTGATGTTCCTGACGAAGGTTTGTCGTCTTTTCTTTTTTCATCCTCTTTTCTTTTGCTGAGTGTAATTTCAACTCTAATTTTTTCTTTTGGCGAGTGTAATTTCAACTCTTATGTTTTCTTTTGGCGAGTGTAATTTCAACTCTATGTTTTCTTTTGGCGAGTGTAATTTCAACTCTTTTCTTTTGGCGAGTGTAATTTCAACTCTGGTCTGCAATTCTTTTACTCTCACATGAAGTATTCCTTCGAATTTTTTGAGCTCAATCATACAACTTCAGGCTTGTTTTCATTTTATTTTCCTCTTATTTTCATATCATTTTTTGTCATTTTTATCAATCTTATTCTTTTGATTTTTCTTTTGATTTGTGACTTATTTGATTCGAAACCCATTTCAGATGTGAATCTGTTATTAGGTGAGCTGTACATCTCTGAACGTCAGGAGCAGCCGGAACTAGAGGAACGGACCATCAAGTTTCCTTCGTTGGCTTCGGAACTCGTAAAAACTTTGGAGACTGCTGATTTGAGGACCTGGAAACGTCTAGTGGAACTGTGTAGTGTTGTGAAAAGTGATTTTCTTTATGAGAAGACTGTTGAGGGGGCACGCGTTTCGATCAGTAGGAAGAGAGCTCGTCTAGCTTTAGTGGAGGAAGAGCATGCATTGTTAAGTCGTTCGGAGCATGATTTAAATGTGGATCTTAGTGCTCGTCGTCAAATATTACATCAATCTGAACTTGCATGCAACACAGCTCTGACTAAGTTGAACGATTCTTTTAAAATTATCAACTTTTGTGATCGCGAGACTTTTTGCGATCCTTTTCGAATGAGCGGACTTTTTTCTTAAATATTCTTGATGGTGACTATCTGCGAACTTTTGGTGAGTTGTAAAGATTATTTTGTAAAGGACTTTTTGATAAAAAAAATCTCTTTTTTTTGTAATTTATCAGACGATCATTGTGAAGCAAGGATTGGTGGCGTTACTTTGAACATCGGTGGATTCGAATCCTTAAAGAAGATTTGGTGCGGACATTTGACCATTCCCACGCCAGCGGACTTACCTGTGTCAGAGAAGGGAGCTGAGATTTCGGAAGGATCTTCAAACGAACATTTGGAAGTTAATTCTGAATCTTCTGATTTAGGTGTGGATTATTTATAACTTTTTTTATTTTTTAGAATTTTTTGCTTTAATCCCTTTTTTTTATGATATATCCTTAGTGGATTTGGGACCAAGTGAGGAAGTGGAGAGAATCCCTTGTATCCCTGCCGTTGTTGATGAGATGGCTGGTACTTCAAGAAATCAAACTGGGGCAATCGCTGGTATTGGAGATGAGGAGATTCTTCAATTTAATTTGGGACTGGACTTAAATGAAGGCGACTGCCCGTTTCGTATGTTTTTTTGAAATGTGTTAAATGATGAACTGTTCTTAATTATCTTGTTTTACTAGGTCATTGGAGTTCAATCTTTGAAGTATCAAAATTCATGCCCGATAATTCTCCGACGTATTTCAATAATGTTGGGAAATCAATGAAGTTAACTGATGCTGTTTTCAAGGAACTGAAGTCCAATCAAGTTAAGGTTCCGTTGCCAGTACCAGGGACTTTGGTTGCTGATTTTGACTTTAGTACTGCGAAGTTGGATTTTACCACGGAATCGAGAAAAAATACGAAGAGAAGGGCTGTTCTTATCATTGCAACGTCTTTATGTAGTTCTTTTCATTTGCGTGGAAAGGACTTTACTTTTCGTACTCGTATTCGTGCTGATCAACGGACTGAGCGTGCTGTTCCAAATTTTTCTCATTTGGTTGAGGATTTAGATGTCGACATTTACCAGGTATTTTTGATAATGTTAACTGTTGAAACATTGCTAATATTATTGAAATTTTTCAGTGGTCTATGTCCGGCTGGTCCGTGGTCTGTGGGGATGGATCGATGTCTTCTACCAACCTACGAAATCGGGTTTATTCGGACCTTAAACTGGATGAGTCGTTTATTTTTGATGGGGTTTTTGTTAGGGGAGGTACTAACGATATCAAGCAGCTGATTCGCTCGGATCGTTATTGCCAATTTAACTGTTTTGATGACTTTTTTAAAGCTTATGAGGATTTT